AATCACAAAAAACAGTATGTGGTTGTCAGTAGCAATTATAACTTCCAGATGTGACTAGAGTCAAGAAGACAAAAATAATACTGTCATTGCTTTCATAAGATTTAAGTGTTAAGATAAAGTATGGAATAACTGAGCATTAAATTACATGGAACAGGCCTTATCTAGCATATAATTGTCATATTAAACATATTTATTGAATTCTTCTTTATTGAGTTTATTATATATATATATGTATTTGAAATATATGTGAATTGTATAGTGTCTCATGTGTCAAAATATGTGCTGTTAAAAGACACTTGCCCTTGAGGTGAGCTCAGATTGACTGGTGATATTAACTATCTGATGCAATCATTACAAAATCAAGAAAAGGAGTGACTACTACCACTTGCAATCACTTTGGTGGTCACAGATTCCAACAGCTAAGCATGATACTTTTGGTAAAGTAAAGCTTCAGCAACTGAGGATACCTGGGAGAAAATGCCGTCTTTTAAATACAAATTTCAGAGATTTATCAGATTCTCTCAAATGCTGTCAGTGGTGGCACTCGTTGAAAATCAAGTTCTGCTCTCAAGTTCTACTAGTCAAGAATGATATATGTGTATCACAGAATGAATAATGAGAAATATTTAGGTTAGTTAATCAAATTTGGTAAGTAAAACAGGTGATAAGACATTAATTTTTTAATGTCTATTTAAACAGTTGTTCTGAAGTAATCAACTTAATGTTTATAGCCATAGTTCTGTTGAGAAATAACTTCATCATTACCATTGTGGCCTTTGGGGTCTATTTTTTTTCTTAAATTTTTTTTTGGAACTGGTTTCTCCATTGGTTGAATTGGTTTACACTTGGATACCATTACCAAGTCTTCAACTTTATATAAATTAGTCTTCAAACAGTTCACCACAAGACTCAATATAACCCAGTCTTTGATGAGTTTACCACAAGACTTCATAAAACTCAGTCTTCAATCAGTTTACCACCGGACTCTATATTGATCAGTCTTCAATCATTTTACCACTGGACTATAACAACCATGCCTTCAACCAGTTTACCACTGGGCTTTATATTACCTAGTCTTCAATCAATTTACCACTAGACTCGTTATACTTTAAATCTTCAATCAGTATACCACTGGACTATGTAACCTGATCTTCAATCAGTTTACCACTGGACTCTATATTACCTGATCTTCAATCAGTTTACCACTGGACTATATAACCCTATCTTCAATCAGTTTACCACTGGACCATATAACGCGATCTTCAATCAGTTTACCACTGGACTATATAACGCGATCTTCAATCAGTTTACCACTGGACTATATAACCCAATCTTCAATCAATTAACCACTGGACTATATAACATTATCTTCAATCAGTTTACCACTGGACTATATAACCTGATCTTTTACCACTGGACTATATTACCTGATCTTCAATCAGTTTACCACTGGACTATGTAACCTGATCTTCAGTCAGTTTACAACTTGATCTTTAATCAGTTTACCACTGGACTATATAACCTGATCTTCAATCAGTTTACCACTGGACTGTATAACCTGATCTTTTACCACTGGACTCTATATAACCCAATCTTCAATCAGTTTACCACTGGACTCTATAACCTGATCTTCAATCAGTTTACCACTGCACTATATAACCTGATCTTCAATCAGTTTACCACTGGACTATATAACCCTATCTTCAATCAGTTTACCACTGCACTATATAACCTGATCTTCAATCAGTTTACCACTAGATATCACCTACTGTAAACAACATGTATCATATTTATTAATCAGTTTATCATTGGGCATACTTGTAGTAGCTGCCATGGAATGAAGCATCCAGGCAAATGGGAAAAGACACTATGTCTTGTGTGGTACATGCTTTTAACTATAACTTATTGAAATAAAACGATAGAAGGCTAATATTGATATTTTTTTAGTGCACACTACAATGGCATTGTATGTATTTATTACAATAGGAATTATAATTACTCCCATTTCATTTTAATTTCATTTTTACACTGTATAATGTTATTGATATGTTTTTTTATTAACCAATAAATGCTTTAATAAAAGTTAATAGGTTTTTTTTATTCCAGAGTTTGATTGTACTACCTATCTTACATGTGTCTAGACAAACAACTGCTCATGAAATATTTACACAAATGTTTAACTGCATGTTTACCTTAATGTAAACATCTGCCTTTACCATAAATAATAAATCACAGAAAGAGGTTTCACAAGATTTCCATGACTTTTTATTATATAGAAATTAGTATATGAATACAAATTGTCCTTTTCCAGTAATTTATATGTTAAGTATATCCATAAAAAAGTTCGACTTGATTACATCCAACAAGATAAACATACATGTCACTACAGGTTAATTAGATTATAAATGAAATGTGATATGCTAAATGAATATGGTCTGCCAACCTATTTTAAGATTAAAGAAGCTTTATCATTTTTCTTAGTTCTGAAAGAAAAAAAACGATATTGCTCAAATTTATGAAAATTTAATAAAAAATATAGAGAAATGTGTAAAATTAACTTACGTCTGTGTTTTTTAACTAGAAAAATCTTTTCGTTAATTTTTTAACGCCACAACTAATTAATAGGTTTACATAAAATTTGTTATGCATTTTGGTAGGTACTACTGTACAGATTTATACAGGAGGCTTTATGAAGCCTAATACCAAAACTAGTGTTACTTAACAATTAGTATGTTTGATCAAGTAGAAACATGTAAATAGCATATTCTAGAAATATTTTCAGGTATAATGTATGACATTTTTGATAATGAAATTTTTTTTTTTACTGCTGATTAAAGTGATACTACACCTTAGAATGAACATAAAATTTAAAATTTTTAAATAAGAGCATGTATTCATCAGTAGATATACCTTGTGTCATAATTAACATAACAGGATCCATATGTAATCCGATAAATCCAAAAAGCTTTATAATTATCCATAAATATGCATCTATTGAAAAACTCTTAATGTTATTAAGATAAAGAGTTTTTCAATAATTTTCCAATTTTCCAGATTTTACAAAGGTTTATGTTGTAACTTTATGACACCAGGTAAGCTAACTGATGAATATATACTCATTTTGACCACTCTTGAGAACTTAAATTTTTATGTTCATTCTAAGATGTAGTATCACTTTAAGAACTGAATACTTTCATTTTACGATTGCTCGAAGCACTCTCTCTATCTGATTTTACTTTATTCTGACTTCCGTTTTGTGTTTATGAGTTATCTGAAATATTATTTCCTTGTACATGATTTCAAGATTGTAATAATACCACATACAGCTTGGAATTTATATTTCAATTAAAAAGATAAGGTTCTAGTCTTTGTTGTAAAAGATTTCACATGTCATATTAAAGTGAGATGTAATTTGAAATACAAAAGAAAAAAAATTGGAAAACATTTCCCATACATCTATATCCTTGACTTGTGGAGGACATGTAGCTTCTGATAATGATGTTACGTATCTTAACATTACATCTATATCCTTGACTTGTGGAGGACATGTTACAGACTTTCTGTCAAGAAATTTGATTGGCTGTAATCGCAAATGACAATCCAACCAAATCACTTGACATAAAAACTGTCATGATACCAGAAAGGTGACTATTGCAGTCAGGGTATCAAAACACTGTTTGAAATAGCTTGTGAAGATGGATGTTACTATGTCAAATTCTTTCTGCTAAACTTTATTTGGGATAATGAGGTTATCTGGTAAAATTTTTCTGAATCTACAAGAATGGGAAATTCAAATCAGTGCAAAAGTTGCTATATGTGTCTCAATACAAAATAAGCTGCAAATTCTCTATTCAGTCTTTTGAATGGGAAAAATGTATTCAAGTCTTTGTACTTATAGGTCAATAAATTGATTTAAATTTAATCAAATTTGATCAATTTGGAGTAGAAATAGATTATTGAGTTTCCAGAACTCAATTTTTTTGACATAATAACACATATGTTCTGTTCTTGATTTCTAAAAACTATAGTATAATCTGAATAACATGTAGATCACATTTATATCATTCTATTTATCTTTTACTACATGCCATCTATTGATGAGATTTTGGTCTTGATTTTTTGTAAATCGTCTTCAGTAGTATTAAATATGTACGAAAATCACATAATTCCTTCAAAAATACCTCAAACTAGAAATTTCACAATCTATTTCTTTATATGCCTTTTCTATATATGGTAGAGTATCAAGAAAAGACGAGTCGTCATTTTAACTTTCAAATGCAGATTGTTCGTGACAAACATTGATTTGAAGGGACTGAAATATGATTGTTCAAGGAATGGTGAACCTGTCCCTTTTACTTCTTGTTCAGTCGAATAGCATCAAATGGTATTAAAATTTGTACCAATTAAGTAATCACATGTCCTTCGTGCAATGCAAGTCAATGATTAACAAACAATATCTCAGATATCCTCACATGTAAATCTAAAGCAGAGTGTTAGATTTCATTGACCTTAAACATGTGTTGCATAACTATTCCGTCCTATCATGGAGTGCAAGTGAAATTAATACAAAGATATAACAGAAACATCTAAAACTGTATATAAATCAAAATTATTATTTTGCTAAATGTTTTATGTCAAAAGCATTTAGCTTAACATACCTTAGTTAGAAATTTAGCATCTTGAAATTTGAACTGAAAAAGGAGTTTAAAAGAACAAACATTTGAATGATAGATATGATCTTTTTGTAGTTATATAAACAAAAGAATCATGTACTTCGTAGAATTCTAGAACTTTAGCTATATATTTATAATTTTTAGACAATCTCCTTAAATTTCTACTTAGTATTGAAATTTGTTGTAGATTTAGAACTGAGCAAGTCATTATACATAGAGCAATCAATTCAGGCTAAAAGTTGAATTTAATGAATGGTTGAAAGAAGGTAATCTTTGAATTTGAAAAGTTTATCTACATTCTAAATGTTATGGTTTGTATTTTGACAGGAGAATAAAACAGATGAAAATGATAAGAATACTGATCGTATTTGTGGTGGACATGAAAGAGCTATCAGTATTGAGGATTGTGTCATGAATCTGGACATTAGAGAAGAAGGTAAGCCTACATTCTCAACCTTTTCCAATGAAATCAGCTTTTAATTAAATGGAACCCTCTTTGGATTTGGACCCTCTTTGGATTTGGACCACGTTTTCCAGACAATGCTCAAACTGAAACTGTATATTTCAGACTATGCCTGAAGCTTTAGTGATCTCCACTCCAGTTATCTCCAGCTATAACTAACTTCATCTGATACCTTGACTACGGTAGCCACTATTCTTTAACCCCGAAATCCAGCAGTTTGATTCAATTGTATACAAGCAAATACAGCCAATCAGAGCCCTCAACAGAAAGACTTAAACATTTTGTCTTATTGTTTGCAGACTTTCTATTAAGAGCTGTGATTGGCTGTATTCTCTAGAGTACAATCCAATCAAATCATTTACTTCATGTACAAACATCTTGATACCAGAAAGGTGGCTATTGCAATCGAGGCGAATTTTAGATGTCGCGTGTACTATATAGGTTACAATTACTGTTTGGTAATCTAAAAAGAATTGCTACTGTTTGTGCAAAATTGTTTTTTTATTACATGATAATTGTTGCTGCCATTTTTAGACTTGTACTGCTAAAGGTATAAATTATTTAAAATCCATTAATTTGGCTTTCTGTTCCGTTCTTTTCTGCACCATCTAACTTTACATGATTTTCATTTTAATGATGGTTCTGATAATGACTACGTAATGTTATTTGGATCATAAAGAACTCAGTAAAACATACTAAACAGGTGCTGATTCTTTGTAATTTTGCACTCCATTAACTCCTTGTACAAAACACCTGAGACCTGTTTCATGGTTGCACGCTATCAAAATCAAAAACGGTTTGCTGAAAGTAAAAGAAGAACACAGTACTGGTTGTATATGATTTTTCTTTTCACTATCATATACTTTGGTCTTTCTTTTACTTTCATTTGAAACAGGTGAAGTACCAAATTGCAACACCTTTGATGCTAAGATGTGGTGAAGGGCTGTGCTCTTACAACTGCTTTGACATGTAACTTATGAAGTACCATATCGCTACACCTGTGTGTTAGGATAAGTTATTGGGACCTTTAAGTTAAGAACATTGGACAAAGCTTTGATACATAACTTATGAAGTACCATATTGTAACACCTGTGTGCTTGGAGAAGATTGATGGGGAAAGGGAGGGGTGGGGAATGGTGCTGCAACTGTTGGACAAAGCATTGATAGGTAACTTATGGAATACCACAAGTTTAATGTTGAGATGGGATGGTATGAGATAGATTAATTTATAAAGTGCCGTATAATTATAAGAGAAAAAAACACACAAAAATGCAGATAACTCGAATTGTTCCATAACCTTAATGTGGTTGTAAAAAGGTTTTCTTAAGTTTTCATGTGTCTGTGGTTCCTGCAATTCCATTACAACAAAGTGTTTGATGATGTCACTAACACAAATTATGCGCTATCACACATCACACTTTTATTTTCTTAATATTTCAGGTATCTATACGTTATTGTGCTATTTAGAATTACATGTTAATAGATGGGTAGACATATTATCACCAGTCTATACTTGTTGTCAGGTCAAATGTTATGGTGGACCATTACAGCTACAACAGGTTTCCAAAAAGGTAAGTATTGTTTTCATAAAATCAATATAGTAGTTGTGATTGTCTCCATACTTCTGAATGTCTTCACTAGACCAAGTACCCAAATGTAAGATGTTACACTCCGTTTAATTTCAAAGTTTTAGAAAAAAAGTCAGATGTGAAGTTCCGTGAGTCCTGGTCGGTGTTTCAGCTGCCATCACATTGATGATAAGATCTTAAGGCTAATAGTTTGTCCTCCAGCAGACTTCAGCCTAATAAAAATAACACCATGATGTCTAGAAATCTACTTATTTGTATTATACTACAGCTGTTAAGAATGACTTATGTGAACAATGTAATATACAACCTATGCGAATGCATGTGAAAATGTTTTTGAAATAGTTAACGATATCAGCATGGTGCTAACAAGAGGCGCTAACTGAGAAAGAATATCTTGTCCGCTACAGTCTCTTAATTGCTGCTTGGTGATTGGCAGGATATTATACTTATGACTTTGTTAAATTGCACTCATTATGCTCTGCCTTGCCCTGTTAAAATGTATAATTCCAATGAGGAACACTTCCTTTCATTTAGATTAGCAGACAAGAAATCCTGTCTTCTGTATTAGAATCTTGTAGCACAGATCAAACGTATCTTTAGAATGATCATATTGTAGAATCACAAGAGAGAAAATCTATGACAGAAAAAGCTCATTTCTGTGATAAAACAATAATTATTCTACTGAAACCTGACTATACATACAATAATTTTATCTTAGATATTTAGCTAGACAATATTATTCTGATCCATTCGATAGATTTTCATTCTACTGGTAGAAATGTTAAATCTTGTATGAAAAGGGCTTCTCTCATTGACAGGGATATAATCATCAATGAATTCACTGTTACAGCACCATCACAATGTCAAGCTCTTAGTGACCTTGTCTTATAAGGTACCTTGACTGCAATAGCCATCATGGAATGCAGCTATTGGATTGTACAACAGACTGAAAACATTGTGGCTTTTTGTTAACCTTTATATCAGAAGTCTTACTTCAATACTGTATATTTTAACTGGTGGAAAATTGTCAAGATCTTTTTTTATCAATGCAAGGTTGGAAATGCTCAGCACTTAATTCCACTCTGCGATTGGATCACTGATTTTTATTTAATGTCATTGCACACTGCTCAGTAAAACAAACTTTACCAATTATTTTTATGAGAATTGGGAAACCAGCCTCAAAATAAAACTGATAGTCTTATATCTTCAGGTTATAAGCATGAGCACACATTTTCTTTTTGAAATTTATTTTGACAGAAGGCAATTTTCTGCCAAAATTTGGGCACTGTTTAGATGGCTAATATTGTAAGAAACTTCAAAAAAATGTCTCTACCATGGAATTGAATTCAGTTATTGAACTTTTAAAGATTTTCTTGTGAAGACACTGAAGGCTATAACTATTTACACTCATATTATCTGTAATGTAGTTCATTTAGAGATAACATGGGGCGCCCTTCTTTTCAGCATTTTTTGGGGCTTATTAGGACAGACAAATGCCAAGCAGTGTACTATTTAAAAAATTTAGCCAGGACAGCGGCATTATCCAATTCTTTTTGTGATTTATAACTGCTTAGAAATGTGCTCCGCCCGAAGCACACAGTTCCTTGGTTTATTGTCCCATCTGAAAGACAAGACACATTTTACATGTCCGCCCCGACTTGATCACTAACAGGGGAAATTTGTTTAAATAATTAGATATTAATTCGATTAAACTTATACAATCTTACAGTAAATGACAAGACAAATAAAGTCACTATAAGTTAGATTTAATTCCCAACAGAAGTGAAGAATAATTATTCTTTCAAATTTTGAATTCTATTCCAGTGTCCACCATTAGCTGTTGCCATAGCAAAACAGAAATTAGATGGAGTATATTTTGCTAATAGTAATACTATAGAGTTTCCAGTGGTAGAAATTAGTGACAGTATGGGGTGGGAGTCAGCACCTGTGAAAAGAGAATTAAGACAGTTACAATGGTCCATATCACCAGCCAGTAAGTATTACATTAATTATCTGCCCTTCCTTTTTGAAGGCGTTTGCTAATAACTATGTTTATTGTGAAATCATAATATGACTGGGGGCTAATTGTTTGTGTAGATTTCATGGAATGGCAAACACAAAATTAAGAACTGTAGAACCATCAGTTATGTCTTAAAAAGTATTGATTTCATCAATTAGACCATAGCAAATTCTCCATTTACACAAACTGTTCACACATTTTCACGAGATGGATCTGTAAATAGAACTATACACACGTCTAGGTTTGCTCATTTCATTAGCCAAATCCAGTGATGAAAAGTATCATTTAGGATAGGATACACACGTCTAGGTTTGCTCATTTCATTAGCCAAATCCAGTGATGAAAAGTATCATTTAGGATAGGATACACACGTCTAGGTTTGCCCATTTCATTAGCGAAATCCAGTGATATAAAGTATCATTTAGCATTGATAGGATACACACGTCTAGGTTTGCCCATTTCATTAGCGAAATCCAGTGATATAAAGTATCATTTAGGATTGATAGGATACACACGTCTAGGTTTGCCCATTTCATTAGCCAGTGATAAAAAGTATCATTTAGGATACATTTACCTTATGATATGCAGTTTCAAAATTATTCTTGATGAAATCAATGGTCTTTGCTTGTGATATTGGACAGCATAGATATTCTAAAACACCTTGTAACCACAAGATGAAAGCTAGTGAATTATCAACATTTGTATATGGTGTTGAAGATATTGTGCTCTATTAGTATATCATAGAACATCAGTTGACTTCCAGACTCTATATAAAATATGATTATTTAAACTTCCTTGCTCTTACAAACTCAGTAAAATGTTTTAAAATCAAATAACCTATATTGCCAGAAATCTAGTAAAGAATTATTGTCAAATTAAGGATGGGATATTGCTTTTTATTTAAAGGGATCAGTAATAGTATTCACAACTCGCCATCAAAATTCATTGAAATAGTGACTCATCTTTTCTGAAATTCCGGGATATATAGAAAAAATTATACGATTTGTGTTCAGTTCTTGTACTTCTGAAGATTATTTACATATATTGTCAGTTGTCTGAAGATCGCTCTCATGGAGTGTTTGAGAGGGATCTCCAAAGTTAAAAAAATTAATTTATTTGGCGCATTCTGACACATAGTGTACATAGCAAAATCATATTTTACAATTTGTTTCAAATTAAAGAAGAGGAACAATTGAAAATGCACACCAATTTTCCCCTATATAGGGTTTCTGGTCAATTATCTGGTGCCCGTGAATGGTGTGTCAACCCTGCTATAGCATTTACAGCTCATGTTCCTGTACATGTATAGTGTCCTTTCAAAGTTGTTATGCTTGTATAATATGGTTTTTATTTATTTCTTATTTATAATCTCCTATCATGCATGTATGCAACTTGTGTCCCATAAATTTGATTAGCTAGTAAATTCCAGACTAGACATTTTGGTAAAGATCTCTAGGAGACAATATATTGTCAAATTTAATTGTCTAGAATACTCTTGATAGGCATTACATCCGAATGTCTAAATCCACAGTGGTTACTTCCACAGTTAAATAATTTGATTCTGATGCAAAATTGTTATTAAAAATTATTGTCTCGTTAAATTTTGGTGTGAGATGCGAATGTCATATCCACTGTCCACAATGGTGATCAACCGCTTACTACCTAATCCAATGAAATTCTCATGCAAAACAGGATTTTCCTCAATAATAGGTTAAAGTCATATCTTCCCATTCATGTTAATAAGATATCTATGTGAATTCAGTGATATCCATGCACATACAAAATCATATTGAAGAAAGTTAACTGAAACCTTAGTTTCTTGGGAGTTTTGTATTGATTGTACAGCAGCTTTGTTTATGTTTACCGAGGACACTAATAGCATTGATAAGCACCGTTCCAATTTTCAGTCACATCTTGCAATTCCACAAAAAACAATGTGTTTTATGATGTCATTATCACAAAAGCTGCTAAGAAGTGACATCATAAAACGACAAAAGCACTTTACAAGTTAGATTTAAACTTCAATTTAGACTTTAATTTCCTGCAGGCTATCTCAGGATTAAAAGACAAGGTTTTACTGATGTTTTAGAATAATAGTTCAACAAACTACAGAATAATTCAGGCCTGTAACTAGACTTGATCTTCTGTATAGTATTTGGTCTTTTGTCAGAATATTTTCATGAGATTTGTCCCTTTCCTCCCTGCAGCTACGAACCTATTCCAAAGTGCCCTACCTGATAATAGATTGTGACACAATATCAGTAAGCTACCATTGATCTTCAATATAGTCATATGCCTACAAAACTACAAAATAGTTCAAATGGATACACAAAAACAGCTAAGGGCATCACAGAAGGGCATACACTTTGACTGACAACTTCTCTACTGTCGCTGTTTTCAGTTTTCAGAAATCAGTGTTCAATTTAAGTGGTATCACATCACAGTTTGCTTGCCAAGATGACCCCCTTTTGCTATCTAAATATGCCAAAATTAAAATCTGCAAATCAAATCAAATCAAATTTGTTTTTTTTTTGTGATAAATATACAGCAACAGTTAGTTCAGAAAAGTTGTTAATGTCATGCCCTGAAAGTTCAACATTGTTACAGGGAATTGTACTCAGCACAATGGTGATTTTCTGTGGTCATAATTTTTATATTCAAGTGTTTCTGAATCACAATAAATATCCATCTCAAGATTGAGTTCTATCTATTCTATAAGACTTATCTTATTCAAGAGTTATATCTTTCACCATTGTAACCCATTCACATGTCATCTATATTAGCTAGAAATGTGGAGATCTATTGAATTCATGTTCTAGTTGTTTGAAGAAACAGTTGATCTTCATATACTTGACTTGTCTAGTGGGTTCTTCATCTAACATAAAACATCTGTTATCATGTTCTTGAGTAAGAGGATTGAATATTGAGTGATGCTGTTCAATTTCATCATGTTTATTACCAAATTTGACAATAAACTTTTGGCCTTTGGCATCCTTTCAACTTGTTTATAAAGGAGACCAATGAACCTGTATTTCCATTGAACTATTAGTGCTGGCACTAAATTGGTGAATCAGTACATCGCAAAACAACATGAACAGTATATGTATCTTAAAGACACCTTATATGATATAGGGCATACATGTATACACATATCTTTTTGACTGGCATACAATCCAATAAATCACTGCATTCTTTCTGTGATATAAGAAAGGTGGCTTTTGAAGTCAAGGTATTAGACGAAATTGACATTGTGAAGATAAGTTCAAAACTGAAGTTCCATTTGTAAAAGTTACCATGATCCAGTAAGCTGTTAACAATACATCAACGATTTATCAACAATGAATTACTATTTATTTATGTCACCTCCATTTTCAGCTTCCTCAATTCCCATCTTGCAGAAATCTTGATCAAGCTACAAAGTCACTATCCAGTTGATTTGAATGGTATTGACATTTGGATAGTTCTGGGATTACACAAACATTAAACATTTGAATAGTGCCACGTCAGTTGGTTATAACAATTATTTTCATTAAATTGTTAAGGAGGACGACAATGTCTGCCAAAAAAATGATGACTATAACACTTAAAACTTGATTAATAATAGGTCTCTTTCAATTTCTTTTTTTTTGATGAAATATTTTGCTTGAGTGATTTAGCCATCTAATCCTTAGTTTTACTATCGATTCTTTAGCTAGAATCAGACAAATTCTCTTCCACACGTACAAGACATCAATTGAATCTAGAAAGAACAATATTCTTTAAAGCTTACTACAATCTTTACTAAAGTAAAAACCAAATTGATTTCCGACATAAGACATGTTCTTCCTTTTTACAAGTCAGCATAACTATAATATTCTTTTAAGTTTACCATTCTGTATGGACATAAAAAAAAAAAAATAGTTTGGAAGTTAAAAGAACTAGATTGAAATAAATAAGGCCAAACCAACTTTTTTTTTTACAGACCTCTTACCTTAATTTTTCAAGAAATAAGAAATGAAAAGCTCCACTGAAAAAAAAATTTTCATTCATTCCAGATGAAAAACAAAATCATTATCGGAAACTTCCTTTATTAATTAAATATATGATATTGGATTAAATCAATGCTGAAAAAGTGAGAAAATCAAGGTTTTTTCTTTATCTTTCCTTCGCTTCACACAAATTTGCCTTTATTTTTCCTCCCAACTTTACAGATTTTACAATAAAAGATCTGTAAAACAAGAATGAAATTTGCCTAATCTGTAATACTATACAATCTTAGGAAATCGTAACAGTAAAGGCTAATATCAATGGCCTTGTAAAAATCATAATGCTTTTTGAAACTTTTAAGTTGGAGATTTGTCAAAGATAAAACATTCTGTAGAACACCTTATATTGCCCTGTGTTTTGGTTTATCAATTCAGTCTCTCTAACTTAAATTGCTATTTTGATTCATTTTATCATTTATTATTATCATGAAAGAAATTATTGTTCAGAACACCTGATATTACTCTGGGACTGGGATTTTCAACTCAACATAGCTCTGGAAGATTTTAGGTTACTTACATATAATGTTACTTTTTTTTTCTTACCATGAAGCTAATTGTCATTGTTATTATAACACCTGATACTTCTCTGGGACTGGGATTTTCACCTCAACATCCCTGTTGAAGATTTCATGTAACTTATATACTTGGTTATTTGGTTGTTTTAATCATTTATAACGTTAATAAAGCAAATTATATTCAGGTTATTTTTTCATGAGACCAAAGATATTAACCTTGAATCCATGCCAACTTAATTGATTTAATCTAATGATTTATTGGAATTGGCACAGATAAAACCAGATTCAGCTAAACGATCTAGGATTACTACATGCTGTAACAAACTGTTACCATCCAAGACTCAAAGATGTAATCTTGGAAAATTCTAAAATGTGATTATCCTACTCTTATCAATAAAATAATCTTCTCTCTTGAGTTGCTGGATATATCAGA